ATACCCATCTTCATCTTTTTTCAGAAGTCTATGCTCTCTTTTATTTTCCAGTGATTTTCTTGATTTGGGATATTTTGTTTTTTTTGTTTGATGCAGTTGCTCTTGCTGTTATGACTGCACAGATAGCTGTTTGGATTATTTGTGCTGTTTGGACCTCTGTTAGTACTGTTGAGGAATTTAAAGATCTATCTGATGTTCTTGTCAGGAATATAATACTTTTGGTTTAGAGACATGTTGTTGTTTGGATTCATAATTCTGATTATATGATAGTATGTGGGAAGACACTGCTCTTGTAGTTTGGCTATTCCCATCTTTTCTTTCTAGTTCACTAATATTGTGATGAATTATGAAATATTGATCGGGTTTTCATGCAAGCAATGGACTATGCCTACTACCATCTATCATTTGGGATTAATGCTATACGAAGACACGCATTTCAGAAACTTTTTGTAATTGCAAATTTATACCAACATGGTTTGTCATATCGATAACTAAACTTTGCAAAACAACTTCGTCCCTAAATATTGTTTTCCCAGAAGAAATTAAACATGTTTTGATTTGGGATCTGCGAATCCATCCAAGCCCACAGCTCCAATCTTCTGCCTAGAGAAGGGAGCAATGGTGTGGCTCACCACCAGCGAACGCCAAGGGGCATCAACCATCCACAAAATGTCACAAATTGAACCACCATCACACTCACCTAACTCTAGGGTGCAACTCGGACGGATTGAGAAATTAACCCTAACTCAACTCTAAGTATATAATATTTAACCCTAATTTAACCCGAGGTATTCAACCTAAGTACTGCTCTAGTTTAATTCGAACGGGTTCGAGTTGAATTCGGGTTACTTAATTCGGACTAATTTTAGGTTAAAAATCGAGTTGTGCTCGGATTACTTAATTTGAGTTGATAAAAAAAAGAGGAGTGACGCGTAAGAGAGGAACGTAAAGAGTCTGAGACGACTCAGACGAAGGAGATAGGGAGGTAGAGAGTCTGAGACCAGATGAGAGACGAGTGACGAGTGAGAGAAGGATTTGAGAGTGATGGAGGTGCAAGGATGAAGACTTAAAGTGAAGTGAAGCTCTGGACTTTAAAGAGTGAAGATAATACTAACCCTAGTTAAATATATTTATATATTTATGAATATTCAAGTTCAACTCGATTTTAATATTCGAATTGAACCCGAGAATCCGAGTAGGGATGCAACTTGGGTTGGGCAACCCGAAAAAATTAGGGCTTGAGTAAGGGTTTTTAACATTTGGATTGAGCTTGAGTCAAAAAACTCTAACCCGAATTCAATTTGGGTTAGCTCGAGTTAAGACTTCGGGTTCAACCCGAACTCGATTTTTTTTTTAAAAAATTATATATATATAAAGCATTAGTATTGGTTTTTCATTTTTGTTATATCGTTCTCTGTCTCTCTCGTTCTCTTAGTTATGAAAAAAAAAGACAAAATATATGAATTATGTTTTATGGTGTAATTATTTCCCCCTCTCTTTGTCTCTCTCGCAGTGGACTGGTGGCAATGATTTTTATGCTCTGATTACGGTTTTTATATTAAAAATTTGGTTGAAATTATTGGTTCTTAATTTATGTGAATATTATATAATATATGTATTTGGTTTAGAACAACAATCTTATTTTGGACTCAACCCGAATTAAACTCGTAAAATAACCCGTAATCAGTTCGAAATCATTAACCCGAATTCAATTCGAGCCCGCCCGAATTAAACTAGGACAGTGCTCGGATTGAATTCCTCAACAGGGTTGAAGATTATATACTTAGGATTGGGCTAAGGTTGACTGTCCAACCCCGCCCGACTCGCCCGAGTTGCACCCCTAAACCCGAGGTATCAATCCGAGGCTTGTTTGAATTCAATTCGGATTGAGATTTTTTTGTCTAGCCTCAACTCAAGTATTAAAAATTCTAACTCAAATCCTGTTTTTTTTTAGTTGAATTCGGGTTGGTTCGTCCAAATTACACCCTTACCTGACTTGGTGATTCATCCTCTCACGATACTCCCTCTCAACAACAACAGGTAATATAACAAACGACGAATATGTAATAACGGATTTGAGAGAATTAAGTGACGATCAAATTTACCTCTATTTCAGAGAAATGAATTCCCGCAACCTGACCCTTAAATTATCATTTGGAAAACTGGTGCAGGGAAAAACATCATCAAATTGTGGTTGATTTTGGAACGAAATGGGCGCTGTTATGTGTAATGTGGGGGCGGCTAAGTGGACTCTTCCTGGTGTTTGGAGCATCTTTGCCAGGCGAGCCTCACGTAGCCGTCATTGATCGATCGTGACTCAAACATATTTTTGAATCAAACTTCCAAAAATAGCCATCATTGATTGATTCACAGTACTCACTTTTCGCTTTTTCTGGCAAGCCCCAGCTGGGTTAATCGTAACAATAATTATGGGTATGACTCTGATTCAAAAAAAAATTATGTGAATCAAGAACGCAGTAAGAATCTTCTTGCATTACGTATGCCTCATGTATATGTAATTTGTCAGTGATGCCACTTTCATGCCTGTGGACTCCCCTTTCATTGCTGTGAAATTTTGTCCAAAGCCATCATTGGTAGGTTGCTTGGTTTGAATTTATACTCTCTTTTTCTTTTCTTTTTTCTGAATTTTTTCCTCCTGATGATATCTCAATTCTCAATACTTTTTTCCTTTAATTTGTCTCATTGGGAAAAAAAATGGTAGCAACTTTTTTTGTAGCCATTACTAGTTATTTTTTTTTTTCTTATACTTAATAGTCATAGTGCCTCAATGTCTTCAAATTGGTTCCATATCCAATGACCATATATGGAATGCTAGGGATCAAAATTGAATAGGGGAAGGGCTAACCATATCTGCACTCTGATTTATATGACTGGTTTTTAACCTTTTCTTATTTGTCCTTTACTCTCTCTCTCTCTCTGTTGTTCTTCTTAATGTCTTTTAATTTTGCAATATGTGATATTCTACATGTATGCCACAATATTACTCATATAACTTCTCGGATCCTATGTGATGGGTCAGGTCCAAGGGTCCTATTCATGTTATAAGTTTAATTTGAATAAAAAATTTAACTAGACAAGATCCAATGGATTCAACCCAAAAAAGGTTCGCGCCCTGTCAAACTCATTAGGAATCGAGGAGCTACATCACCAAGGGAGTAGGTAGTGTCATCCTAAGAGCCTCATCCAAACCACCTTGGAGTAAGGGTCTCCAAGAGCTTCATCCAAGCCACTTTGGAAGAAGTCAATCACCACGTCATCCTTTGATCAATTCTTATGGGGGGTGTTGTAACTGTCTCATCCGTTGAGAAAATGGCACTAGCTCCATCAAATTAGTCTTTTAATTACTGATAAATTACCTCAATATGTTAGGAGGCGAATGTAAATTATAAGTCTCGCCAATACTTGGGGGGCATCACACACAATCGAGCACACCTGCTATCACTTTCATCTCTCTTATTATTTGTATCTCCCTGCTCTCTCTATACTTCTCGAAGTAATAAAATATTCAGGCAACTTTAGCCCTTCAATGTGGACGTAGGTCATATTAACCGAACCACTCTACATTTTCGTCTTGCTTAAGTTACTCTCTCTCTCTCTTTATTTAATTACCGCAGTAATTATTGATCACTTGGTAGATGGTGTATAATACCAATTTGTGCATCATATGTTTGGCAAATTTTGAGGTACTGTAAGGGAAAAAAAAATACCAAGCGTCCAGAGGAGCTTCTAAATACAAATTGCTGTTGCATGAGCTTCCTTATTATGTCTTTACTCAATCAATGTGGACTCCATTTCAAATTTAAGAGTTCTCAAAAATAATAGTCATGTGTAATATCTTCAATCAAATGGATGCCTCTAATAGCAGAAACGTAAATTCTTTAGCTTCCTGATTCTAGGTCAAATTTGGTGGAAAAGAATTGAAAAGCAAAATAATACATGAATTTTCTCTCTCTTCCCATAGACATCCATCCATTGTGTCTTTATTCTTTTCAGCTTACTGCGGTTCAAATAGAGCACAATCTGATACATGTTGGCTGTATTAAGGTGCTTCCTCAGTGCCCAAAGCAGATCTTTCTTTCTTAATCTTCCTCTCACGGTGGTTGAGCCAGTTTTCACTTTCTCCAAACCCTACACTTGTTACGTTTAACGAATTCACTTGTTAATTCAACATCGGATTACCAATGCTTAACATCCTAGTCTGCTTTTTCAAACTCTGAATCGTGTGTCGTGCAGATAGTTAACTCCTAGCATCTTCCTTAAAGTGCCATATTCAGCCCTTAAGTAAAATCAGCTAACAGCAGTGATGAATATATGAAAAAACCTAACTTCAGTTACAAGATTAGCGAGTGAGAGTAAGCGCACAAGTTGTTTTACCTCTTGCTTTTTGGAGATTAGTCTCCTAGTTGGTAGGTAGTCTGTGCTTGCGCATCTCCACCACTATACTTTCATGGACTGTTCTGCTCTAAAAGTCTTCAATATACACACATTGCTTGTTCCAAGTACATTGTCTACCAACATTCTACTAAAATTACATTAAATTGTCACTTTTGGTCTATAATTATAGTTTTTAATGAGAGGATATTGCTCCCAAATTCCAAAGTATTGACTAATCTGAAAGGTTTAGGCCAGACAGCAGTGACAAAATCCCAGTTTTTCAACAAATAGATAGGTGTAAGTCAACTTCTTAGTAAGAAATCCACTACTACAGAGGGGTAACTCATCGTGCCACTCCGGAATTTGGTATTTGTATGTGTTGGGGCTGACCGTTTGCATCACCCATTAAGCAAATTGTGGAATTGTACCAAACTCAAACTCAAATGAAAGGGACATGTTTAGGGGCTCTGCCACTCTCCAAAATAAATAATACAAATAATAACCGCATTCCTCTTAGCTTGCTATGTTTATAAATTGCTTCCCTCTCTCTGAATTTTCATTGTGTACTTGAATTTGTTTTTTTGGAGTTCTTGTGACATCAAGATATGAATCAGAGATCCCATAAAGTTTCGACTATTCCTTTGTTCTGCTTCTTGTTTCTGAGTCGTCTTGTATTCTGTCAACTGGATTATAGGTTTTATGATAGCACTTGTCCCAGCCTGACAAATATTGTCAAACTTGGTGTCTGGCCAGCTATCTCCAATGAAACTAGAATGGCTGCCTCTCTTCTGCGTCTGCACTTCCATGACTGTATTGTTAATGTACTTGGATCGTCTCATACACTCGATTATTTTCACCCAAGTTTACAAAAAATTATGAAACAAATAGCCCAGCCAGTAACAAAAAGAAAAGCTATCAGACTATGTAATAATCTATATGATTAGCGCTAACCAGTGAGCTCATTCCTATGTGCTCATCGAAGGAGCTGATTAATGCCATAGAAAAAAATACCTTACTTTGTCCTTATTATTGATGCAAACACGGTAATTCAGAATTTTCGAACTTTGTGTCTTCAATATCTGACTGCTTAGTGGTTCTCTTAATTTTTGAATGTGTAGGGATGTGATGGATCGTTGTTACTCGATGATAGCAGCGCATTCAAGGGGGAGAAGAATGCATCGCCTAATAGAAATTCAGTCAGAGGCTTTGAGGTCATTGACACAATAAAGGCCAATGTGGAGAAAGCTTGCCCATCCACTGTTTCTTGTGCTGATATATTGGCTCTTGCAGCCAGAGAAGCAGTTTCTCTTGTAAGAAAATTCTTGACTATATCGTATGTGTTAAGCAGATCCTACTTCACCTTGTTCACTTACTATCTTCTAGCATCTATATTGATATTATCCTTTCTGTATTTTCTTAGACCGGAGGGCCTTTCTGGTCTGTACCCCTTGGTCGGCGAGATAGCCTGACAGCAAGTGAGAGTGCTGCTAACACACAAATCCCATTTCCTTTTGAACCCTTAGATAACATTACTGCAAAATTTACTTCAAAGGGTCTTGAAATGAAAGATGTAGTTGTGCTCTCAGGTACACTTCTGGAATCATATTTAGTTCTCCTGGCAGAATTCAACATGCAATCTTGAATTCCTGAGGAGTTTTTCTATGTTAAATATAGGTGCACACACTATTGGTTTTGCTCAATGCTTCACATTCAAGCCGAGGCTGTTCAACTTTGATGGGTCTGGTAATCCTGATCCTATACTTGATTCATCAATGCTAAGCAGTTTGAGGAATGTGTGTCCAAACCAAGTCGATTCCGATTCCAATTTGGCCCCTCTGGATGCAGTTACTGCTAACAAGTTCGACAACTTCTATTTCAAGAACATCGCAAACAATTCCGGGCTTCTCCAGTCAGACCAAGCACTTATGAGGGACAACAGGACTGCAGCCATGGTGAATTACTATATCAAGTTCCCCTTCCTGTTCTTGAAGGATTTCGAAGTATCAATGGAGAAGCTGAGTAAGGTTGGAGTACTTACTGGAAAAGATGGACAGATAAGGAAGAACTGTAGGGTGGTGAACTAATCAATCATCCATGCATGTAAGTCCTATGTACAATGCCTTGAAATGGGTTGAGAAGGCTATGGTATGGTTTGTAGTCTATAAAGTAGCAAGTTCAAAAATCTAATGCATGAATAAAATATAAAAAACCTAAATGTGATTGAATATGAAGCAAGCTTTTAGTCTACAATGATTGTGATTTTTTTTTGTTTTTTTGTGGAAAAAAAATATGGTTGGTTCAGTGGATTAGTAGGCAACACAATCGGGTCAACAATGTGGATGAATGTAAGATTCAATGTCAAATTTCTCATTCAGGGTCCATTTATTTAGCAAGATAATACTAAAAAATACAAGAGAAAATTTTAAAATTTTACATGCGTTTGTTCACATCTAACTTTTTTTCTTGCAAAAAGCACAAAAAAAGTAAGAAAATTGTGTTCAATAACCTAACTTCTCATTTTACCCTTATTTTTCTTAATATATTCAATTAGTTATTAATTTAAAAAAAGTGTGTACAAATTAGGTTAATCATATAATTTGGTCTAGAGATTAAGGTTCGAATTGATCTTTGTTCCTGAATTAGATTAAGAGCCATTTTTTTAAAAATTTGAATAATAACAAATATATATATATTTTTTTAGACCGAGTTAAAATAATTAAAGATAATTTAGACAATTAGAAAACAAATTTCTAACTTTCCTTTTCTTTCAAACAATGGAATGAGTTTGTTTTAAAATTTTCTTAAAATGATAAATAAAATATCATTTTTGATAAAGAAATAGGAAAGATGTAAAAGTAGATGAATGAGTTTTTCTTTTAACTTATCAAAATCAATCTCTCCAAAATTAGGAGTAAAAGTAGATAAAAAATTAATTATGAGTGTTAAAATATATATTATTTGTCTATATATAATATAATTTATATAATAAAGTAGTTTTCAATTCAAATTTCAAAAGATAAACAAAATGAATTTTACTTTTTGCAGTTCAGATCGTTTTAAATTTTACTTTAAAGTTAATTTAACGGTTAATATTAACACCCTAAATTTAATAATAAAAATAGGCTTCTAAGAGTGTGTTTGAAGTGACTTTTTAAAAGTATTTTTACAAATTATTTCTCATAAGTACTTTAAAAAAAATAATGTTTGAAACCGTTCCACCATTAACTCTATCACCACCACCACCGTCGTCGTCGTCATCACCATTGCCGCCGCCACCATGGTTATTGTCACTCACCACAACCATCACAGTCTTCTACTATCATGTCGCTCACCACTTTTTACTCCCACTATAACCGATACTTAAATCATTTATCTCTTCTTTATGTTTGTAATTTGATTTTGGATATGAATACAAATATGTTTATTGTTTATCATTTTTTATTATTTTATGCTTTCAAGTACAAACAATAACTAATTTATATAATAAAATACAATACAATTCAAATCTCAAAAGATAAATAAAATTTATTTTGTTTTTCGCGGTTGAGATCTTTTTAAATTTTACTTTAAAATTAATCTGATAGTTAATATTTAACACATCAAATTTAATAGGAAAAATAACTCCCTAATGGTGCATTTGGGGTAGCTTTTTTAAACTATTTCTAGGACTTATAATTTCTCATAAGTATTTTTTTTTAAAAAGTAGTGTTTGGAATTGCACCACCACCATTACACCCACCGCCCCACCACCACCATATCACCGTTGTCGCCACCCCACCATCACCCCTATTGCCCCACCACCGCTATCGCCACCCCACCACCACCACCACTGCCACCCCATCACAACCTCTACCACAACAACAATCACCACCACCCCCCACTACCGCCACCACCATCCCACTACCATAACCCCTCATCATCATCACCACTGTTGCCACCTTACCACTAGGGGTGTTCATCCTACCCTACAGATAAGAAATTTGTTATTCCGTCTTTCTACCCAATACTTTGCGAAAGATTTTTTTGTTGGTCTACCCTACCCGATCAGGTGTGGTATTCTTACCCAACTTCTTACTCGATTAATGGGTAGGAAGTCAGGTAAATACTTTTGTAACTGTTAATTTTTGGATCATTTTAATAATTTAATTAAATAACATGGGTTTAACAATCAGAGAGAACAATTCTGCCATAACACAAATTGGTCCAGCAAAATGGGTTGTATTAGAATTTCAAATTGAGTTTAATCTTTATATCTTCTAAAATATTTGTAGATCTACTAAGCCTACAGATTTCAATCGCAATCAAAAATAGAACATCACAAAACCAACCTTTCTATACCAGTGAAACTCAAATCCCAGTGTCTCTAACACTCGAGCTTTGAAGCTCAAGCCCCAATTGGCATTGGAAAAGCAGACCAAAGGCTCTCAAGAAAATAAGCTTTTAAACAATAAACAAACAAAACTCACATCTAAAATAAAGTACTCTCAGCAACTTTAAGTAAACATACGTCAAGCCCCAAAAAAGTGAAAAATGACAACAGAGAATCAGACTACACCAGATCGCTCAAAGAGAGAGAGAGAGAGAATACCTGGGAATCGACTGAATGATGAAGGAAGAGGAGGAGGAGTGGCGTGAGGTGTTACTGTGTGAGGCGCTCGAACAAAACTCAGTAGACAATTATATATATATACTAGTTATTGCCTCTGCTTAAAGCACAGAGTAATAAAAAATGGTAAACTATAAACATATTTTTATTCATATTCAAAATTAAATTACAAACATAGAGAAGAGATAAATGAATTTAAGCATCGATTTATAGTGGGGGTAAGAGGAGGTGGGCGACAGTAGTGGTGGTAGGAAACAATGATGGTTGTGGTGGGTGACAATGACCGTAGTGGCAGTGGTGGCGGCGAGGGTGGCAGCGATAGTGATGGTGGTGATGATGATGATAGTGGTGGTGGTGGTGGTAGCGGTGGTGGTGGTGGTGACAGTGGCGGCCGCGACAATGACAACGGCGGTGATAGTGGCGGTGATGGTAGCGGTAATGGTGGGAGTAGTGGCAGTGGCGGTGGTGGTGCTGGTGGTGGCAGTGATGATGGTGGTGGTGGTGACGACGGTGACGACGACAACGGTAATGGTGGCAGCTGTGGTGGTGGTGGTGACGGGGCTAATGATAGTGATGGCGACGGCAACGGCGACGACGGTGGTGGCTGCGGTGGTGATGGTGATGGTGATGGTGGCGGGGGCAGTGATGGTGACGGCGGTGATAGTGATGGGCGTGGCGGTGGTTGGGGTGAGGGTGGTGGTGATGGTGGTGACGACGACGATGGTGGTGGTGACAGTGGTGACAGCGACGGTGGCAGTGGTGGTGGCGGGGGTAATGATGATGGTGGTGATGAAGACGGTGGCGGTTGTGGTGACGGCGACGGTGGTGATGGTGGTGGTGGAGGCGGTGATGACGGTGGTGGCAGTAGCTGTGGCGGTGGGGGTGGTGGCAATGGCTGTAGCAGTGGCGGTGGTGGGGGTGGTTGTGGCGACGACGACGATGGTGGCGATGATGGTGGTAGAGGTAGTGGTGTGGCGGTTTCAAACGATATTTTTTTTTCAAGTATTTATGAGAAATAATTTTTAAAAGTATTTTTAAAAAATCTCTCCATACATATCTTTATGGGTCTATTTTTCCTATTAAATTTAGGATATTAATATTAGTCATTAGATTAACTTTAAAGTAAAATTTAAAACAATTTCAACCACGAATATATATATAAATTAATTTATATATATATAAATTAATTAATTATTACGGGTCAGATAGGGTAGGAATGCAAAAATTGATGGTTATTCCACATTCTTACCCGATTTAATCTGAAGACCAAAAACTCTTTCTCATTTCTATCCGATTCTTGCGGCTACCCGTTCAGTAAAGTAGGGTAGGATCGAATAGAATAAGAAATTGCAATTAATCGAAAATTTAAACACCCCTACTTATTACAACCGCCACTGTCCCACCATTATCCATACCGCCACCACCCTCATTGCCCCACTACCACCATTACTATCTACCACTATTACTACCGCTCGCTCTTACTACAATCGGTGCTTAATTTTTTTTTTCTCTGCTATCTTTGTAATTTGATTTTGGTGTGAATACAAATATATTTATTATTGACCATTTTTTTTATTATTCTTTGTCTTTAGGCACATGAAATAATTAGTATGTACATATATCAAATTTATCAATTACATAAATACATTAATTATATATATAGATATAATGGTAAAATATGTGTTTATATTTTTTTAATAAAATATATAAAAATATAAAAAAACTTATTCCATATTATCAAATACAAAAAAATTAATTTTTTCTACTTTTCATCTATCTTACCAAACATAGAGGAAAAAAAAAATACCTACCTTAAAGGATAAATCTTATATCACTCTCACTTTTCATTCACTCTACAAAACACGATATATGCGAGAGCAAAATTCTCTCACCAGGCTAAGCAATTCGAGTGGGTAATACGATGTAGGAGGTACAACAATGTTGGGAACTTAAGCCTATGTTTGCCGGGACTAAAAATGGATTGATTAAAAGTGAGGATGAAAAATGGGAAGAAAAATGATTTTTTTTTTTTTTTATTTGGGTCAAGAAGAAAATGGAATGAAAAGGAAAATTGGGTAGAAAATCTCACCATTTTTGGCATGAGAAGTTGACTGCTATATTGTAATAATTATCTTACTTACCCAAAAAACAAAAATGAAATATATATATATATATATATATATATATTGTAATAATTTTAATTTATATTTATACCCTTCTTACTTGCATGTCTTTTATTATCTTGTCTTTAAAATACTATTTAGCACGAGGAATTTAATTTTAAAATATTTCTTTAACTAACAGGTGGTTAATATGTGTGATCTATTAATTATTACATTTGTTAATTTTTTGTAAATAAAATTATAAATTATATAATTTTTTTTACATCGTACTCAAATAAAAATGATAAATTAAATTTATATACCAGATCAAACTAATAAATTTAATTTATATGTTGGTTCTTTTCCTCTGTTTTTG